AAATAAACAATCAAACAAAAGAAAGATAGAGGGACAGAAATCAAAGAAAGAAGAAAGAAATAAAACAAAGAAAGTAAAATAGAGAGGGAAAGAAAGAGTAACTAAAGAGGATAAGAAAGAAAGAAAGAAAAATAAACAATCAAACAAAAGAAAGATAGAGGGACAGAAATCAAAGAAAGAAGAAAGAAATAAACCAAAGAAAGTAAAATAGAGAGGGAAAGAAAAGAAAGAAAGAAAGAAAAATAAACAATCAAACAAAAGAAAGATAGAGGGACAGAAATCAAAGAAAGAAAAAGAAATAAACCAAAGAAAGTAAAATAGAGAGGGAAAAGAAAAGAGTAACTAAAGAGGATAAGAAAGAAAGAAGAAAAATAAACAATCAAACAAAAAGAAAGATAGAGGACAGAAAAAAAGAAAGAAAAAGAAATAAACCAAAGAAAGTAAAAATAGAGAGGGAAAGAAAGAGTAACTAAAGAGATAAGAAAGAAAGAAAGAAAAAATAAACAATCAAACAAAAAGAAAGAAGAACAGAAATCAAAGAAAACCAAAGAAAGTAAAATAGAGAGGGAAAGAAAGAGTAACTAAAGAGGATAAGAAAGAAAGAAAAGAAAAAAAAACAATCAAACAAAAGAAAGATAGAGGGACAGAAATCAAAGAAAGAAGAAAAAATAAAACAAAGAAAGTAAAATAGAGAGGGAAAGAAAGAGTAACAAAGAGGAAAGAAAAGAAAGAAAGAAAAAAAAAACAATCAAACAAAAAGAAAGATAGAGGGACAGAAATCAAAGAAAGAAGAAAGAAATAAACCAAAGAAAGAAAAATAGAGAGGGAAAGAAAGAGTAACTAAAGAGGATAAGAAAGAAAGAAAGAAAATAAAACAATCAAACAAAAAGAAAGATAGAGGGACAGAAATCAAAAGAAAGAAGAAAGAAATAAACCAAAGAAAGTAAAATAGAGAGGAAAGAAAGAGTAACTAAAGAGGATAAGAAAGAAAGAAAGAAAAAAATAAACAATCAAACAAAAAGAAAGATAGAGGACAGAAATCAAAGAAAGAAGAAAGAAATAAACCAAAGAAAGTAAAATAGAGAGGAAAGAAAGAGTAACTAAAGAGGATAAGAAAGAAAGAAAATAAAAAATAAACAATCAAACAAAAGAAAGATAGAGGACGAAATCAAAAAAAAGAAAAAAAATAAACCAAAGAAAGTAAAATAGAGAGGGAAAGAAAAGAGTAACTAAAGAGGATAAGAAAGAAAGAAAGAAAAATAAACAATCAAACAAAAGAAAGATAGAGGGACAGAAATCAAAGAAAGAAGAAAGAAATAAACCAAAGAAAGTAAAATAGAGAGGGAAAGAAAGAGTAACTAAAGAGGATAAGAAAGAAAGAAAGAAAAATAAACAATCAAACAAAAGAAAGATAGAGGGACAGAAATCAAAGAAAGAAGAAAGAAATAAACCAAAGAAAGTAAAATAGAGAAAAAAGAGTAACTAAAGAGGATAAGAAAGAAAGAAAGAAAAATAAACAATCAAACAAAAGAAAGAAAGAGAGACAGAAACCAAAGAAAGAAATAAAGAAAGACAGAAAGAGAGTAAAATAGGGAAGCAGAGAAAGAGTAACTAAAGAGGACAAGAAAGAGAAGAGGAAAACCAAGAAAATGAAAGAGAATGTGAATCAAAAGAGAAATGAAGAAGTAAAATCCCCACTGTACCCAAGAGAGTCAATTATTGGTGATCAGATGTGATATCTTACAGAGAAAAGAAGAAATCTAACATGGCAGTAATCTGACATTCTTCCTGTATTTGGTGTTCAGCTTCATTTCTACTTTATAAAGCTCCCTTCCATTCGGCAAAGTGTCAATGCAGCTTGATGAATAGAAAATAAGCCAGAATTTCAATCAAAAACAGTCAAATAGTCAATTCCGTATTTTCTGGAAATGTTTACAGAATATGTGCTTCATTTTTCATTCCCCTTCATTTTGATCATAACAAATTGCTAAGTGTAACGGTAAGTTCTATCCTAATAGTTTCTTCTTTCACACTTCTCACCTGTGGAACTCTCTTCCAGCTACTTAATTTCTTGTCAACTACAATCTTCTAAAACAGGTATGCTATAGTTCATTGTAACGCAGACTGCACTACTAAAAGTTCAAGCTGATTTTTTTATTGACAGTACTGCAGTCATTTCTACCACAGAAAATTGTATGTGTAAGTGTTTGTATTAGAAATAGGGATAATTTATTTTGTTTTTTTTTTGTTTGGAGAAAATCTATTTCTATAATTGTTATGGTCTGGTTCCTTGTACCACGGTGATAGTCCAAGGTAGAACCAATAAAGAACATGAACACAGGTATGGAATAACACAGATATATTACAAACAGGAATATATACAGAGAAGTAGAAGTGTTAGTATGAACAATCAGGTTTAGTAGAGAAAACAATGTAGTCTCAACCAGTATCACTATTCCAATGTCTTGCAGTAATTGTCTGAACGCGACTCTTTCAGACTGCCTCTGACTCGACTCTTGACTCGACTTGAACTACTGACTTGACTTGAACTACTGACCCGACTTGAACTACTGACTTGACTTGAACTACTGACTTCCTTGCCTACTTCTGAGGCGCAGTATTTATTAAGCATGGAATAGTCCATTATTATTATTATGGGTAAGACCCCATAACAATAATTACAATAACTGAAGTCTTGGTATAACATTATCCCTGATGACAAGTGTAATTAAACATGCTGCTGGATGTGATTTGTTTACAGTTTATTCATTAGACTAAGCAAACATTTTTTTTTAAAAAAAAAGAATATTTCTTCTTCAAAGAAAAAAATATGAACATTTCCTGTTTCTACAACAAGTGAAGGTTACATGTATGATCTTCAGTATCTGTCTATATTTCTGAGATGAAGTATTATGTACACTATTTACATTATTTGGACTATTGTCCTCATTTTCTTACCATATTTATCACTGTCTCAATTCAATACTAAAGCAAATGTATCTGTTTATATTTCTGAGATGAAGTATTATGTACACTATTTACATTATTTGGACTATTGTCATCATCTTTGTCACCATATTTATTACAATGTTTCAGCCGTTTTACGCTCTGGCCTTCTTCAGGTGGTTGGAATGTCGAACTGAACCTTTTATTTCACTCACTGGGGCAGACTGTTCTAGTTCCATTTGGCATGTTTAATGGATGTCAGTTATCAGTTATCTCCTGTTAATTCCCCTCTCCAATTTCTCCACTGCCTTAACCAGGTATTGAACTCACACTCTTTGGGTCCTGTCACTGAATCTAACCAACGCATTTATCAATTGTGCCAGTGGAAAAATGGCTAATTTCTTAATCTTTAAGCTTGTTTCTTGTATATATGTTCTTCCCTTATGGCTTTGGGATAATATTGGCTTAGGGAAACAAATACTAAGGTGAAAAGGTGCTGAAAATCTCCAAAAATAAAATACCTAACTCCTGCTGCTATGTTCTGTCTTTACAAGAGTTAGATCAGACCAAGAATGGAGTATTGCTGCCATATCTGGGCTGATGCTGTTCAAAAGCAATTACACGGGTGATGAATTATTCTCAACACTGGAACCCCTATTCCACAGGAAAAAAAAAAAACATTCAGGATATTGGTGATCATGGCTCTCCACAATTTGCTCATAGTAATGTTTATCTTTTTACTATCTTTGTTAAATAATAGTCTACCAAACTATTATCTTTTAGAGAATTGTATTTCTCCTCTGACTTCCCCATTTTGACCTTTGAAGTTAGATACAGGAAAACAAAGGAAGTCATTTTTGATTGGCTAAAAATAGTGGGGGAATCAGGGAGTTAAGATTTACATGTCAAAGAATTTAATGTTGTATTGTGTCTGGAAACTGCTCCTCAGTGGGGTGCAATTGCAACCCCACCGGCTAGTAAGAAATGTACATGTCAGCTTGGTAAATAAAGTTAAGATTTAAAATTCCCTTTGGTTGATGTCTCTTTTACTTTTGAATAAAATAAATGGCAATCAGCAGCCAAGAAAAAAGAAGGCAACATTTTTATTATCGAATTGACCCAATCAAGTAAGACCTCCCCAGAAAAGGGGGCTATACAACATCCTTCCTCCTCACTGTTCTATCATCCATTTACACAAGTAGATTATTCACTGCTTCCTCTTGTCACTTTAACTTCAATATGTTCTGTGTGTGTCAAATTTTTCAAGCCTTCTTTCCCCAAGTAATTTCAACTGTCTCTTTCTGTTTCTAACTATGAATATCTTTTTTTGTTCCTATTTGCCTTAAAACTTCCTTGTTATTGAAACACTCTGTCCGTGATATTCTCAGCATTCTTCTGTGAAATCATATCTCTGTTGCCTCAAGTCTCTTTTCATCTTGTCCAGAATTCACTGCCATATTCGAGGATTGATATTAAATAATTCAACTTATTTGGAAATGTAGTTTCCCCTGCTTGTGCTTACAGTTCAATGTCACATGAGGATTACTTTCAAGGGTCCTAACATGCTGTTGCTCTGGGGAGATTATGTTTTTATATGTATATGGCCGGATGCTTTCTGGGCAGATCCTGTGTTTTCTGCTCTTATTTTTATGATTTTTGTATTTAAGTTCTTTGTCGGGATCTGTTCAGAGCCTCACGTCTTGTTTTGAGGAATTCTGAGGAAGATTCACAGAGAAGCAGAAAATCAAGATTTATTTTGATTCTGTTTTGGACAGTTGATGTTTAAAATTGACAAGTTTGTTTGGAGAAATATAAAAATAAAGTTGCATAAACAAAATATTTTACTTTTCTTTGAGGATTGCTTTTTTCATTACATTAAAAATCTGATTTTTGTTTCTTTCCTTTTCATCTAAAAAAATCTTTTTTGTTATTTCTTTTTTTTGTATATTTTTTATCACTCCATCTTTTTTTTTATGATTTTGTTTCGTCTTTTTTATTTGTTTCATTCATATTTATTTTATTTCCTTTATTTTGAGTTGATAAATTTCATGATGTTAGAAAACAGATGGAGAATGAAAGTTACTGATGAAAGAAAGATAGATAGACAGAGAGAGAGAGGGGGGGTTGAATTGTGATAGTTCCTGATGAGAGAGAGAGCAACAGATAGATAAATAGAGAGAGAGAGAATTAAAAAGCGTAATTATAATTGAAAAGGAGAGAAAAGAAATAGAAGGAGTTTGTGTGATAGTTGCTGATAAGGAGAGAAAATAGATAGATAGATAGATAGATAATGAAAAAGAAAGGGAAAGAAAGTGATAGTTACTGATAAAAAGAGAGTAATAGATAGACAGAGGGAAGAGTTGTCATAGTTTCCGATGAGGAGAGGACAACAGATAGATAAACAGACAGAGAGAGAATTAGAAAGAGTAATCATTACTGATGAGGGAAAAGAGATAGAGAAAGTTTGTTTGATAGTTGCTGATAAGGAGAGAAAATAGATAGAGAGAGAGAGAGAGAGAGAGAGAGAGAAATTGGGATAGGTCCTTATGAGGCAAGAACGAGATAGGCAAATAATCAAATAATCAGATATATATAGGAAGAAATAGTGACTGATATGGGGAGGAAAGTTTTAGAGAGAGTTTGTGTGATAGTTACTGATAAAGAGAGAAAATAGATAGTTAAATAGACACACACAGAGAGAGAGAGAGAGAGAGAGAGAGAGAGAGAGAGGGTGATGATAATTACTGATAAGGAGAGAAAAATAGATAAAGAGAGAAATGATAGTTCCTGAGAAATAGAAAACCAAAGATAGATAAATAAACAGGTAGAGAGAGTGAAATAGCAAAGTAATTGTTACTGATAAGAAGAGATACATAGATAAATAGATAGATAAAAAAGAGAGTGAGAAAAAAAGAGAGAGGGCATGATAGTTACCGATAAAAAGAGAGCAGTAGACAGAGATAGTGGGAGAGAGAAATAGTGATAGTTTTTATATGTAAATAAAAACAGATAGATAGTGAGAGAGAGAGAGAGAACAAGAAAGAAAGAGAAAGGGCATGATAGTTACTGATAAAAAGAGAGCAGTAAATATAGCTGGAGAGAGAAATAGTGATAGTTTTTATATATAAATAAAAATAGATAGATAGATAGATAGATAGATAGATAGATAGATAGATAGATAGATTGATAGCAAGAAAGAAAGAGAGAGGGCATGAAAGTTACTGATAAAAAGAGAGCAGTAGATAGAAATAGTGGGAGAAAGAAATAGTGATAGTTTTTATACGTAAATAAAAATAGATTGATATAGAGAGAGAGGTTATTGAAAGAGAGATAGAGAGAGGAAGAAATACATCTAGAGGGGGTAGAGAAAGAGCAATGAGAAGAAAAAAGAGTGAAAGCAGGACAATAGAAAAAGGAAGAATTGACACAATTCTAATTCATATATAGTGAGACAAAGAAAGATTAAGAAAGAAACACACAAATGAAACTTACATTATTTACATTATTTGGACTGTTATCCTCATCTTCATTGCCCTATTCGCAACATTTTTAGTTCTACATAGCGCAGTGGATAAAGATCCAGTGACTAGACCCAAAGAGTTGAGAGTTCAATAACAGGCCACAGCAGTGTTGAACAAAACATGGAGAATTAAGTTAAAGGGAAATAACTGAGATATCAGGAAGAGGCAGGCACGTGGAATTAGAACAATCTAACCTGGTGGACAAAATAAAGAGTTCGGTTCAAAATTCCAATCACCTGCATATCGTACTTGCAAATGCTTAGTTTTGTTCAAGTGGCATCATCAAAGAATGGAAAAAAAAGGACAGTGAGTCTCCTTTTGAAGTATATCACACTTTATCTGATGAGCCCAGAAGAAACATTGTCAATTAAATTTGAAATGGAGTTGTATTTTTGTTTTGTAAATAACAAAGATTATGTGATGTCTGCTGGTTGAGGTCAAGTCAAGCGTAATGGTGTGTGGGAGAAGAAAAGGGTGAAGCAAAAAGACAGTATAGGTAGGGGAGTGTCTTGTTTGCCTACTGATGGACCAATGTCGCAGTAATTGAAAGGCAATTAGTGATTTTTTTGGAAGGGTCCTACATGTTGCAAAAATAAAATCTATCTGCTGAGTCGGACAACATCAGGTGTTGTAGATATGTTTTAGAGAATGAAATTTGTGATTTTGCACTTTCTTCAGATCTAATCACAAAATTTCTAGCTGTGTAAATTGTTTTTGCTATAAGTTTATAGTGTCCACACTGTGTAGTAGTGTAGGAAGAGAAGTTTGTCAATGTTTTTCTTCACTGGCTCTCAGTTTAAAAAAGGCGTGTAAATGTATATTTGGGTCTGCACATATATAGTCTTGTGTTTTTCTTATCAGGAGAAAAATAATTATCAAATCAGGCATCAACAACTTGTTGCAGGCTATTGTATTCATAAAGAGATAAACATGTGTGTCTCCTGAAATACCCACAAAAAACATGGCAGACTCAAGATGTGAGTCCATGTAAATAAATGTAAAGAAACAACAAGAACCACTATATATGTACAAACAAATGATAATATATTAACAATAAAGGGTTACAAGTGACAAAGAGAAAGATGTGTGGGTGAGTCAAATGAATGTGAAAACCTTTTAGGTCCAAAGTATGTGTAGTGAGTGTGCGTGTATGTGTGTCTATATATGTATTGTTCAAGGAAACCTGTTCTTCACGAGAAATTTACATGTTGATGAAAAAACGGATAAGATCAGAAGAGAGGATGAGAAAAAATATCACTGAGTATTTATAGTCCTGAGAGCATCCCCTAGGAGCAGTTTTGAAAATTAAGAGGAGATAACCCAACAAATACATAGCAGAGGTACCAACTGAGATGCGGTAGCAATATTCAATGAATGGACAAATAGAAGACTTATAAATCTGTAAGATAGATTCTGGTAAGAAAGAAAAATTGATCTAGCATGATCCAGCTTTCCTAGCAGCAGCCACAGCATTTGATTCAATATAATTGTTGCTATTTTGTCAGCAGAAAATGTTAGTACAAGGAGTCACTCCCCTGGAGTGTATTTCTTGTGGGCAACCCTGAAGCCAGATTATGCTTCAGTTTATTGGTTGAAAAACAATGAGATAGATAGGAAAATAGACAAATGAAATCAATGGCAATTTAAGCAAAATTATTGCCCTTGAACTTGTAGAATCTCCAGGGACCATGCTAGTTGAAGTTTCAGCAAGAAGTAGATTTTATAAGATGGAGTTGCTAGTTTAAATTCAAAATTGTCCTTTTAGACTGGTTTCCTACCAAGTCTAGAGTGCCAAGTGTACTGTGCTACTTTATCATTAGCTAGGAAGAAGAAGAGATAGAGTTATGTCTTCTCCAAGGACATTAATGCAAAGTGAAGACAACGGACTCAACTGGAATTTCAGCTTAGGTTGCCGATTTCATTTTCCGCATCAATGATCATTACACTTTGCATTCATCCAAGCAAAATTATGACGAGGGATAAAAGCTAATGGCCAGTTAAAGTGAAACACAGCCTGGAATGTCAATCAAATTCTGAGACCTGATTGAACGAAACTTTTGTGATTTGCCCTCAATCTACAGATAAATTATAAATAAGGATATCATCAGTGAATTATATAGATCAGTGAGTGATTTTAGAAGCATGGTGGAGTAATGGATAGCAGCTCGAACTGAGGAATTGGAGAGCCAAGTTCAAATTCCAGTCGAATCTATTACATTCACTTACGTACTAATACCCTTGGAAAAGGTAGGAATTCTCTTCTTCTTCCCCCAGCTATGGGTAAATAGCAGGGCAGACTGAGTTCTATAGTATAGCCTTGGATAGCAACTGGTCTACTGCAGAAAGAATTGGCAACCTATTGCAGGAAAAAATCTGCCTTTTTAGTCATGTACCCAAAGATACATGATCGTCTAAGTGTCTCTCACGCATGGCACATAACTGATTGAGTGATTTTGAGATTGCATTCTAAGACTTTTCTCTGCTTGCCTTTTAGAACACAGATTTCACAGTTGTTACTTTTATACAAAAGAGTATAACTGCTTCCATATTCACTTGTTGATCAAGTGGGCTGCCAGAGATATTTCTCTGCTTATCAGTGGTTTTCTCTTCCTAAGGTCGCTCTCTTCCTCCTCCAGCTTCTCCACTACCACCTCCTCTTCCCCTCCTCTAACTACTGCTCCTTTACTACCACCTCTACTTCACCTCTCCTGCTTCTCCACTCTCACCTCCACATCCTCCTCATCCACTACCACCACCTCCACCTCTTCTTCCACCTTCTCTACTACCACCACTTCCTTCCTTCCTCTACCTACTGCTCCTTCACTACCACCTCCACCTCACCTCTCCTGCTTCTCCATTATCACGTCTACAACCTCATCCTCTTGAACCACCCACTCCACCTCTTCCTCCAACTTCTCCTACTCTCCTTGTCTACCTACTGCTCATCCAATGCCACCTACACCTCACCCCTCCTTCTCCTCCATTATCACCTCCACTGCTTCCTCCTCCACTACTACCTCCAATTCCTCCTCCTCCTGCTCCTCCACTGCCATCACCACCTCCTTCCTCGCCCAATCCTCCACCTCTTCATCTCCTCCCACCCTCCATCCTTTACTTCACTGTGTAGTAATGGCACCGCAGTTCTCAAAAACACTAGATGTTCCTACTCTGGTTTCCAAGTAAGTTTTTATAGGAGGAAGTTACTAGTTGCTTTGTACCCGATTTTTGGTTACAGTAGCCAGTGTTTCCAAGTGGTTCCCCATCTAAGTACTGATAAGGCTTGACACTGCTTAACTTGAGTGATCAAATGAAAACCAGTGTTTCAGCATGATTTGACAATAAGCCAAGGCTGAAATGGATTATGATAAGTGTTCTATTTCAATTTCAAATCCTACAAAGGATAGGAAGTTGTGGAGAACCATGACCGTCCATGTATCAAAAGGACATACCACAAAAAAGAAGATTTCAATTTCCAACTGAGTACTTCATGGAAAATATTGTTTTCATAATTCTTTGTTGAGTGGGTAACTGAATGACAAAATGAAAAAATAATCAACAGTAACATGTTTCAACCCTAGAAGGGACTTCTTCTGGCTAATATTAGTTTTATCAATAGAGTGAGTTTTATATATATATAGAGAGAGAGGTAGGAAAGAAATACAACTATATAATTATATAGTTACAATTTACAGCTACAAGAAAACTAAGCTTAAATTTAAATTTTTGAGATTTGGTATATCTATTTGTATAAGTTAATTGATTTCATTCCACTTTCTATAATTGTTACTTTTATTTTCATTTTTACCATGAAGGATTTTAATTCTTCTACATGTAATTATGCATTTTAATTATCCTATATATACTGTATTTGTCAGCCTATTGGATGCACACATGTATAGGATGCACCCAAATTTTGACATGGAATATTTAGGAAAAAGAATGTGCATATCCCAACCCAAAAAATCAAAATTATAACTTTACCTTTATGTGAAATTCTCACTAACAATAAAGAAACAGTTACAGTATTAGCAGAAATTATATTACTGGTACTTTTTTTTTAATAGAAGTAAGGTAAGGTTTAATTGCCAGGACATTTTTTGGAAAAGAAGAATTTTAGTAAATTTCATGATGCATTTATTGAAAATTGTTTTAGCTGTTTTTCAGAGAGCAACATCTGTACGTACAGTAAATTCATAATAGCCACAAAGAAATCTACTTGTATCACTAAACACTGGTATACATGTACTAATTGGTAAATGAAGTCCCATTCCATATATGTAGTAAAGCAAATTCCAATACCTGTATCTCAACAAAAACACACATGAAGCAAACAGCAATAAACCAGTCAAATCAAATATTTCTGTAAAATCTGGTATTTCTACAAAACAAGTAGCAAAATATTGC